ACAGGGGAAGAGGAGCCTGACGCGCTTGGCACAGACACCTGCCAAACACCTGAGAAGCGGGACTGGCTGGCAGGGCAGCGGGCAGAAAGCTGCCGGGGGTCGCCCGGTGAGGGGTGGGAAGGCGCCAACAACCGCAGCTTCCCTCTCACGCTGCGTTTCACCTCAGGCTGGGCCGCCCCGCGCGGGGAACCGGGGGAGGGAGCTGCCCGTACCCGCACGCCGTGCTCACGGGAATCCGCCCGGGCCGAGCTCAACGTGGGGGGTCCGGGGCGCCGGGAAGGTGCTGGCAGCGTTAGCGGTTCGGCAGCGGGAGGACCTTCCCCGGCGCCCGTGTCCCGGTCAGGGACGGCATTGTGCTGTTTTGCTACAGGATAAAAATGGCCTCTCGGCGGAACACACGGGAGACGTTTGATGCTGTGGTGCAGGACAAAGTTAAAAGGTATCGCATGGACCGGAGTGATGCTATAGAGGACACAATCCATCATTTTAAAGGTAATGAAACCCGGGCATGACGTGCCGCGGCTTATACCAGCTATTCTGGTAACAGCTATGTAAGATTGCTTGCCTTCCATTTACCTCAAATGTGGACTTGTGCTGGTGTTTTTCCACATCCATTTTTATTTAGGAGGCGAATCGCATGGTATGACTGACACTATTTTAACGTGGAATGCAAATTCTAGGCAAAAAAACGAATTTCAAACAAAGGAATTCTGTTCAGGCTGCATCAGAGAGTGGGTCCAATTTCAGAGAGCTCACCAGAGACATCGCTGCAGGATGGAATTCTGTTGATGTATGATAAGTTAAATAAATGTAGGAGTGCATTTGAAGCCTTTGCGTCTTTGTATTTCATGTTCTTTTTGGAGAAAATGCTAAAAGCAAGACGTTAATAGTGTGAACGTATACAAAGTATGTTCTGCAAATTCTTTTATCTTCTAAATTTGATATTTAAAGTGTCTAGAAAAATAACTTGGATTACATTCATAGGAAATTGAGAGTTTTAAAATGAGATCTCGTCTATTTTCTTAGAGTTGTAGAAGCTCCAAAGAAATAATTTACTTTAAATACTTTATTTGTTCAACTGTTCTGTACTTTCTGAATTTAACTACTGGAATTAGGATTCTTGGATGCTTTGCAGGAGACTCCAGTATTTCTGATTTTAATGTTATCTTAGATAATTGTGTATGTGTTTGTAGAAAATAGGATCTTCTGTTCAGCTGGAATTCTGACATTCAGTGTGGATACAGAAAGTGCACGCTTTTGGTATTTTTACATCTGAGAAATCCAGGTAGAAGCATTTGTGCACATTAGCATCTTCCTAGACTGAGAAAGTTGTAAGCAAGTAGAAAAGGGGGTTTATAGCAGAACTTGCGTTTCAGCTTTAGTGAGAGTAGACTTTTTAATAAATTGTTTTGTCATGTGTGTTTAGTCATGGTTAATGATGTGCTGCTTCTTGCTTATTATAAATTATTCAGTGCTTGAGGAAGCAAATGGGAATATCCCAAAGTTAGATATGTGTACTGTTCTTCACAAGTTTTGATGTGTTGACTTGTGTCTAAATGTGTCTATTAAATTTTTTCCCTTAATACTACTTGCAGCACATTGGTGTATTTCTGTTTTTATCGTTACAGCTCATTCAAGGCCAGTCCCAAGACCAAGATACGAAGATAGTTTTCAGGATGATGGAAGATATACTCATGACAACACCCAGCACCATCCACACGATGACTGGAGCGAAGACCCTAGAGATGAGTATCCAGGACCTTCATATAGATCTACTAGTCCTCTCATAAGGAAAGATAACTATTACCATGAACAGTATGGACGCCCGGCGTCTCATGACCGGGAATTTGGCCGTCCAGCGTCTCGTGACCGGGAGTTTGGGCGTCCAGCTTCGCACGACCGGGAGTACGGGCGTCCAGCTTCGCATGACCGGGAGTACGGGCACCCGGCATCTCGCGACCGGGAATACGGGCACCCGGCTTCCCACGACCGGGAGTACGGGCGCCCAACTTCCCATGACCGGGAGTATGGCGGCCTGGCTTCTCATGACCAGGACTATGGCCCTCCTGACTCTTGGGAATCCACCGGACCACATGAAACTGATTTTAGCTCCTCAGATATTTTAGGTGATTTTAGATCACCGGGGCTGATGGAAGATGAATATGGCAACATGGAGAATCAGGAGTATGATGTCGACTTTGGAATTCAATCTGACAGTGAGTTCCGACCCCCGATACGGAGGGGCAACATTGGCAGGGGAAGAGCTCTGCGAGGAAAGCGTATTACCAGGGGTGCTGTGAAAACTAAAGTATTCAAAGGAGAGATCAAAACTCCCCTAAAGAAATGGAACACTAAAAAAGTGCAGCCAGGCCCTGATCAGAAGCCGGCTCTGCAACCTGATCAAATGCCAGAAGCTGCTGAACGACCTAACCAGAGGCCGGTGACACTCCAGCGCCCTAATCAAAAGTTGCCTCCACGACTTAATCAGAGGCCAACTATTACAACCCAGAGACCTATTCTCAGGCTCCCAAAGCCCGCGCATGTTTTCAGAAATCTCAATTTTGACCTTGTGGACAAATCGGACATTTTTTCAACATTTGGAATAGAAATTATAAAATGGGCTGGGTTTCACGCAATAAAAAACGATGCAGAATTTTCCCGGCTCTTTGGAGCTCTCTTTGAGCTAGAGACAGAAACCTGTGCAAAAATGCTTGCTTCGTTCAAATGCTCCTTAAAGCCGGAACACAGAGATTATTGTTTCTTTACTATCAAGAGTTTACAACATGCTGCTCTGAAAACTCCCAAAGTGGACAATGAGTTTTTAAATATGCTGTTGGACAAGGGTGCTGTGAAAACAAAGAATTGCTTCTTTGAAATAATAAAACCTTTTGATAAATACATAATGAGGCTACAAGACCGCCTCCTAAAAGGTGTTACGCCGCTGCTTATGGCCTGCAACGCTTATGAATTAAGCATTAAGACGAGTGGGTTTGGTAATCCAAGAGAAATGGCGAGTGCTTTTGAGACCACTGTTTCTCTTTGTCGTAAGTCTTTAGCACTTCTAGGTCAGACCTTTGCACTAGCATCTGTTTTCAGGCAGGAGAAAATACTTGAAGCCGTCGGACTCCAGGAAATGGCTCCAGCACCGACACTATTCCCAAACTTTGATGATTCAACGTTGTTTGGAAGGGAGTACATTGAAAACTTGAAGGCTTGGTTGGAGAAGAGTGGATATCCAATTCAGATGAAAAAAACTGAACCGGAGTCCACAGTACAGCTTAAAAAACCCTCTCCTGACATAAAAGTTAAAAGTGAGTGAACTGCTATAAGATACTTTACAGTATGTAATTTTCTTATTCGTTGCTAGCATTTTATCTTAATTTTTATGGTTTCGTTAGGTCAGGAATTCCTAATTCTGGGAATTCCATGTAAATCTCTGGCAGTGCTGAAGCAGGTAGTAAACACTGTCTGTTGTAGCAATCGCTTTCAGCTCTGTGGATGAAAGCATGTCTCCTTCCTCCCCTCTCCTGCCCATGCTTATACTTTAAACCTAGGATTTTCACCTTGTGCCCTTGGCTGCTTCAGCTGCCCTACCCTCCAGCTTCACAACTTCGAGGTAGGGAGGCCAGGACCACAGCTGTAACTAACATCACAGAGTAAGTATTTGCATATAAGCAAATTCAGAGATGTTACCATTACTGCTTTTATCAGAGGCAGGATATACTAGGAGTACTGTCTCCTCTGCTGTACTAGGACATCTAGTTCTTCCTCTCTACTATACTCATCTGTTTTTTCCTAATTGAACTTCAGATACTTTCACATGGGGCACTGACACTGAGTGGCTTATAATTTGGAGCTCATCCCTTCAAAGTGCTGTTCAAATATACTTAATTTTCCCCAAAATCCTTTTGGTGCAATAAGTAATTGCCTTTTAAAGGATGGCTTAACTTGCCCAGAATGGCAAAGGATAAGTTTCTTAAACCACAGTGCTTCTTAAACTGTCCTAGAATCTAAGTTTAGTTGAGAAAACAGAAAGTTTCTGAGGTTTCCTTAATTTATTCTAAGTATTAAGTGCAGCCTTTTTTGTATTAATATTATTGTGGTTTAAACCCAGCTGGCAGCCAAGCACCACGCAGCCACTCGTGCACCCTCCAGCACCCTGGGGTTAGGGGAGAGAATTGGAGGGGTGAAGGGAAGGAGACTCATAGGTTGAGATAAAAACAGTTTACTAATTGAAATAAACCAGACTAATAATAGTAACAATAATAGAAAATGCAAATGGGTAATGCACAATGCACCATCCACCGACTGATGCCCAGCCCGTTCCCGGGTAGTGATCCCAGAGAAGAGAATATCCCAAAAACTGCAATCCCAGGAGCAAGAGCCCCCCCACTTCCCAGCCAACCATCGTTTATAGGCTGAGCATGATGTTACGTGATACGGACTATTCCCTTGGCCAGTTTGGGTCCATTGCTCTGGCTGTTTTCCCTCCCAGCTTCTTGTGTACCTGCACACTGGCAGACTGTGGGGACTTGAAAAGTCCTTGATTTCTTAGCAGCAGCTGAAACATCAGCGTATTATCAACATTCTCCTACCAAATCCCACACTGAATCCAAACCACAGCACTATTCTAGCTGCCGAGAAGAAAAACTACCTCTATCCCAGCTATAACCAGGAGACATATGTTGAAAAATTGCAAATGTCAGTGTGTCAAAGAATAGAAAAGATGACATATTGATACTCTGTTGATGAGAATAATACAATGACTGCATTTTATTTCTTCCTACAGCCCCACAGCGAGCTGATCGGAAAGTTGTAGAGACAATTGAACAGTTAGTGAATAGCATTGTTTCAGGAACCTTGTCTGCCAAAGAGAGAAACGCTCAGAAGAACTGTCCTGAATATTGGTAGGTGTGTTTGAACAGGATGCTGTAATACTACTCTCTGATGAAGATATTTGGAATATATTTCATTAAATTCAGTATTTTATTCAGTGGCCGTAAGATGGTCTGTTGTACATTTAATCAGACTTCTTGAAGATGTTTTCTCAGCTCATTATACTTCCTGATATCCCAGGAAATTGTCCTGTTGCTTCTGTTTTCTCTAGTAGAACATGTTCCTTTTGATCTGTCAATAATGACTGTATGTCAATCCAAATGCAAGATGTTAAAAGCAATTTACATTTATGAGATTAAAATAGTAAGCAAACGTAGTTAATAGAAACATACAGTAAGGTAACACTTACGGATCTGGTGTTCTATGAATAATGTTGCCAAGAAAAGCTGCAACACTTCCAGGTGTAATGATATTTTAATATGACAGTATCTCTTCATGTGTGAATTGCAGCATAGCTGATTAATTACTAGCCAGATGATTTATGTCAAAACCCTCCATCATTTATTTGCTTAGCATACTGTACTTACTGCTTTAGAAGTGGAATTGGCTGTTATTCTGAGAAAAACCTACGCAGGCTAACGTTAATGTAGCAACTGGTGTACATCCCTGGAAAAAAGATGGATTGCTACTGAGTTTCTGCTCTGAGAATTCGAGAACAGTTATGCTTTCAGCTTAGGTTTTCATTTTATTTATATGATTTTGTTTAGGTTCTTGTCAGATGAAGATAGTCTAGAATACAAGTATTACAGACTGAAGTTGTCAGAGGTGCAAAGGCGGACATCATCTGGAAAGGAAGCAGGTGGTGAGGGCAGAACACTAGAAGAATCTGCAACGGAATCCGTCAGGGCCATGTTGTATGCCAGGAAAGTTGCAAGTATTAAGAGAAGGTTGTTTAAAAGAAAAAGGCTTGGAATTGTCATACAACATGGTATTCGAGGAAGGAAGGTGAGGAGAGCCACCATAGGGACGCAGACCCTGCTTTCGGCCGGGACAGTGCTGAAGCACCAAGACAAGCACCTTCAAGGTTCAGTCCAGTCAAAGCCATCTGGATCAGAAACCAGCCTGTCTGAGAAGAATTCTTCCCTCGATACCTCATCCTCACAACGGGCCGCCAGTTCCGAGGTCTCTCTGCCAGCAGAAGAAAGGACAGATTCTGAGGATTTATTAGCACCACCTGAACTTTTCCCACCATTGTCCTCTCAGTTTCCTGATGGTAAGTCAAGATTAGATTTTAAATTTTAAGTTATACAAGAGAAGAATTGCATTGAATGTTCTGCTGGAAATTCTAAAAAACATTTATTTTGCTAAAGTAGATAGCTCTCAACTGTATTGACCTTCCAGTGATGCAGATTTTGTATGAAGCTGTAGATAACAAGCATTCTGTTTCTTGCAGTGGATGCTAAAACAATGGAAACTGCTGAGAAGCTTGCCAAGTTTGTTGCTCAGGTAGGACCAGAAATTGAGCAGTTCAGCATAGACAACAGTGCAGATAACCCAGACCTCTGGTGAGTAACCTGCACCTTTATCTGTGTAAATGGGATGATAAGAAAAATCAAAATGCATCTGAACAATTCCTAAGGAGACATTTCTTTTTATTGTTTGTTGAGGTGTATGCTTTTATTCAACCTGTATAGGGAACAGAGGATTTTGAGCAATACTCTGTTGTCCTGCTCAGCATCTCCATTAATGGTGAATACCTGCAATATCTAAGAAAGAAAAACATGTCTCCCAAATAAGTACATGACTGATACATGTATTTTTCCTTTTATGTCCTAAGTAATCAGCTTGCATCTTGAAACAGTGGTCTGCCAAAGTATTTGCAATCTTGTTATTTTTTTAAGTGAGGTTTTGAATACAGTGGCCTAAGTGCTCTAGTGGAAATTAGCACAGGTTTTTCTCTTTTAGTCATACTGTGCCAACAAAAAATGGAGCCCTATTTGTTCCTCAGAATCAATACACTTATCTCCACATAGACTGCATGACTGAAATTTGGAAGGCCTGAATTCTCTCTGGGATCTGCTGTTTGTCTTCTGGGTCACCCAGAGCTAGCACCTTGTCTTAGTTTCTCCATCTGTGTAATGAATATAATTGTACTGAATTTTTTACAACACAGTTTGAGAAGTGCTAACAAGCAGTCTGTCAGAACTGAGGAGAATGAGTGATGTTCTTACTACATGTTGTCGGGGAATCCTACAGTTCTACAAAAACACACCTAGAATGACCATTCAAAAATTAATAAGGGATTTATTTCAAATGTCTTGCTTCAGGCTAGCTAAAGAAAATCTCTTTCTGATATTACTTGCACTGTAACTTTTGCTCAGGTTTCTACAAGATCGAAACAGTTCTGCTTTCAAATTTTACCGAATGAAAGTCTATGAGCTATGTCCATCTATTAACTTCAGTGCTGTGTCAGAAGCAACTGATGCCGGGGAAAGTGCTAAGCCTGAAGAGAGAAATTTGGATATTTCAGAAGAGGAAGAGGATGAAGAAGAAGAAGAGGAAGAAGATAATGAGGAGGAAGCTGAGTTTGAGGAGGATGTCTCCCAGCCTTTGGAAGAAATGGAAATGGAGCAAGCAGAGGAGGGAGAAGAGGATGACATGTCAGCAGGTAGAAGTGTGGAAAACCTAGCTGAAGAGATGATTTCCAAAACAGGAGAGGAAATTTCAGCAGGTGAAATGCAGCTAGCCACATCATCTGACGGTGCTATGCCAAATCTGTCGACACAGGCATCAACTCCTGCTCCTGGTACCCTATTTCCTCGCAAACGGATCAGCAGCAAGTCTCTGAAAGTTGGTATGATTCCTGCATCTAAAAGGATTTGCCTCATAGAAGAACCAAAAGGTGAGTGGTACTTAAAGGGACTTTGTAGGTATCAGTACAGAACTCCTGGGTTTCATGGACTTCGTTACTGACTGTCACTGACTAAAAGAATTACATTTCTTTAATACAAAAAATGAGTACAATGTTCACTTTAAAGGTTCATCCAACTGACAAAGGAGGATCTGAAGAAACTGTGTAACAGTTTTTTTATTATAGTGCAACAGCAAAGTTTGTGTCCAACATCGTTCAGCAAATATTCTCTTAAGTATATGTGAATGTTGTCTTCTCTCTGCTGCTTAAAAAACTCACGGTAGTGGGTTTTGCGGTTTTTGGGTTTTTTTTTTAATCAGTGTATGGAAGATTTAACAGACTTAAGTATAGCACTGAACCCATTTTGAGTGTTTAACTAAATATATTTAGATGTTGAATTGGCCTGTCAAATTTTGTCAATATGGCTACAGCAGGGCTAGGTCATGATATTCTAACAATTGAGAAATAAGTAGCTTAAAACCAGGTCTGCACCTATTTTAACAAATGTCTTGTCTTTGCATAATGATTTTTATTGGTGAAGGTTGTCATTTGTGATATGAAAATGATATACAATAACCTTGTTTAAGTCCAGTCTGAATTTTCTATCAGAGTATTGCAGAAGCTCAGGGAAATGAAAGCTCTAAAGTCCTTACAGTATGTCATCCATCAGTGTATTGCTGGCATGGTATGTCCAAAAGTAAATACATGCATGTACTAATTACCTTATTTGTGGTGGAGGGGAAAAAAATGTCTTACCGTTTCTTTTCTCTTTTTATTTATTTATTATTCTCATCTTTGTTGTTGGTTCTGATTTTAGACCAAAGCATTGAGTTAGAGTCCCACTTCACATGTACTTTTAGATTTCCATATTAAAATTGTTTTTCTTTACAGCTGAATTTTATCTTTGATTTGACTTGCAGTGCATGAACCTGTCAGAATTGCTTATGATAGGCCTCGTGGTTGCCCAGTTACAAAGAAGAAGAAGGTAAAGAACTTTTCTGGTTTGGCATTGCATTCTGAGAATCAACTATCTTTACAAGGGACAGCCTCTGAAAATGTGTCATTGTCATAAAATCAAATTTAAACCTGAAGAGCCTGGTCCTGAAAAAGACTGGACTAAATCTGAGAAGAGCCATGGCTCCTGTTGTCTTTTAACTACCCGTGTCAAAATGAAAATTTTACAATTGGAGCACTATCGAAAAGCTGTGTGTTAATCTTGCCTTTTATTTTTAAAAATTAAGAAGGACATCAGTGCTTTGCTGTCTGGAAAATACGCTGTAATTTTCCAAATCTGGTGAGATGTTATTTGACTGCTTCTGTATTTGTGATAGGGATTTAGTCATCAGGTCATTCCATATTTGTTATTAAAATAGCAAAGAATACGCTTTCATATTTTTTAAAAGGTAGTTATCTTTTTCAATAATGTAATTAAACAGTTTGAGAACCTGGAACATATGTTTTATATTTTATAAACTGGCAAGGCAGGTATTTACTCTTTGATAGATGTTTTCTGTGTAGGTAGTTAAGTAGTGCTGCTTAGAAGATATTTCTGTATATCCAGAAATTCAAACACAGTTTATGGGGTGGGATTTGAGGGATTTTTAATACGTGATCTCCCTGTATCACAAAAAGACCCTTTGTTTTTCTGGTTTTTTTTCTTCTCCATAGAAACCAAAAGATTTAGAATTTTCACACAAGAAACTGACAAACAGAAATGTGGGTTTCCAGATGCTTCAGAAGATGGGCTGGCAAGAAGGACATGGCCTTGGTACACGAGGAAAAGGGATCAGAGAGCCTGTGAAAGTGTATGTAATGGGAACACACTGCAGAAATTTGACAGCTCTGGAAAAGGCTGGGATTCTAATAATAACTGTGTTTATCTAACCCACCTAGAGGTGGCCAGTTCAGTGTTTGGTTTCCTTCTTGGCACTGGCCTCCACAAAGTTGAGCGTGGAGACTTCACGCATTTTTTTGGCCAGGCTGGGCAAAGTCTGGTCTGGAAGGTGGCTGGCTGTTTCTTGCCATCCAGTTTGACATCACTGAAGGTTGCAGCATGAATGCTGCAGTGTGCGGACGCTTTCTAAAGATACATGGGTGCCCCTGTTCTTCAGGAGGTGTTTTTTGTTTGGTGTATTTGGGTGTTTTTAACCTGTTTATCCTGGGGATCTCCTTGCTACCACGCCAGGTACATAACATATAAATAGACTTTAGGAATATCATACACAGTACTCCTAGGTTTAGGCAACAAATTTTTTTTCACTCTTAATTATGTGATTCGTTCCACTGCATACTGAAAGAGGTAAGTGCATCTGCCAGAAGGTAAGTGTGCTTCTTCCTTTAAAACATACTTTTGCTTTTGAATCTTCATTTTTGTCTTTTAAAGTTGTTGTACCCAGTGTCCACTGCTGCCAGCACGGAGAATGGATAATACCTCCTTCAACTCACTGACCGAATAAGGAGGCAGAAGCTATTTCTTTCTCTCTGAACCCATATAACAAGCTTTCTAGTCCACACCACGTAGCCTGTGATTTAACAATCTTCTTTCTCCAAGGATTTCTGTTTTTTTCGTGCACTGGACAGTACTGGTCATTTTAGTTGATCGGATACTTCTGGTTATTTGCTTTCTTTTTTCCTTACTGCTCCATATGGTCCAGTGGCCATCACTATATTTTCTGTGTTTCCTTCAGCAGCAAACCAAAAGTGAGAAAACAGCTTACTTCATCTGTAGCTCTCTTGTGTTCACCACTGTGAGAACCTTGGTTCTTAACCTCAGAACTTGTTGAAACTAAATATACGAATAATCTTAATCTTTTTTTTTTTTTCTTTAGCTCCTGGCACAAGTTTTGCTGCACAACTTTTCATGAGCTGTTTAATTGTATCTGGTCTGACAGCCCACTAGATTCTAAAAGTTTCTGACCATCTTTAAGAACTGCATTTTTAGTATGGGAAAATACAGTTTTTCCAGCTTGAGACCACTGCTATGTCACACTTGTAAAGACACCTGCAAAGAGTAGTGAAGCACTGCTCTCTGTACCTCTTACAAAAACTTGTTGACCTTTTCTGTAACATAGAGAGAACTCCATAGTATTGATTATTTTCATGGTGTGCACCTCACTTTCCCATCAAAGTAATTCCTTGGACAATACTTTGGGACAATCTCAGTGAGGATGAAACCAGTGCAGTTTGACATTTTGCTCTCTTGTTAGTTGCTTTGATACAGTGCAGGGTTTTTTTTTCTTATTTAGTAATCTGTAGCCTCTACTCTTTCCTCCCGTTTTGAAAACTACTAGGTCTTCAGTTGATGGCTTGTTTAAAAGTCCACGTGCTGTTTGATCTCATTCTCTGAGCAAAAAGGGGATGGATTAATAATGGGAGAGACTCCAATTCTAGTGTGGAACATACCTTGATCATTACAGAATGCTGATACCTAAAGCTGATGTATTCAGGCACATCAATTGTTACACAAAGAAACTTGAGGCCCTTTTTTGTTGTGAAAGCTTAAAGCTTGTCTCTGGCTGTGAGAGCAAGTCATATTGCCAGGAGAAGATGTTTTTTTTATTTATGTTACATTAAAAGATGTGTGAATTGCATGGTGACTTATGGAAATGGTGGTCCAGAAGTTTTAAATGGAGTTTCATGTTAGTCTTGTGAGCTGTTCCCTCTCTTGAGAACTGATTTGTCACAGCTATGGGTCTAAACAATTTTATGGTTCAGGAAATGCTTTAAAAAAAAAACCCTAAACAAACCAAACTCCAAAGCAGAATACTGTTACGGGATAGACCCCCGCTCTGAGTACTTATGTCTTTGATTAGTAATTTAAAATGTAACTTAACTTGATTGTACAGTTGCCAAGTCAGACTGTACCATTTGGAAGAAGAAACAGCACCTGGGGTTTCTGCTGTGGACTGTAAAGTTGAATTTGCTTTTTAGAGTCTGTGAATATTAATTTACAATTGCATAAGAACCGACTTGGCTTAAGTGGAACTATTATTACAGAATCTGGATAAGAGTTTTTCTTTATTCTACTTAAGGTCCTCAGATTTTACCCTGATGGTGTGGCAATCCCCATTTCAGTACATGGGGCAGGGCAGTGTAAAACATTTTTCGTGCTTCATATGATGAAATCTTTTATAGATAATACTAATGTAACTGACCTGAGGATAAAACTGATACAGAGGATCATTCCTGTGGCAGAGGTTTCATTAATCGTAGTGTTGCAGTGTCTATGTTCTTACGCACATAGCCTGGAGAAAGAGATGGTTTTTAATTATTTGTATCTCTGCATTCTTGTGGGTCATCCTCTCTGTCTACTTCCAGGGCAGAAAGTTGTTTTGATATTGTTGAGGCCTGTCTGCTTCTGTTGGCATGTGTGGACAAAGAGAGAGATGAATTAATGACTCATTTTTCTTGGAAGGGTGGGAGCTCCAGGTTTCATCTATAGCGTGTGTCCTGCAAGACTTGAGTTTGCTTTGGGTGCTAGAAATTTTAAGCAAGCAGCATTATGTTCCCTTGGTAAAAATCTAATCTTTTATCCAGAGTTAATGTGGTGTTTCCTACTTATTCCTCAAAGTCTCTGACTTCTGTCGTGTTTGAAATGTGGGAAACAAGGCAATTTTTGCCATCTTTTTGACAGAGGATCCTATCTACCATGAATAAAGTGGTTAAATTTCATGTAAGAATTTGATGTGTTAGATGACTACATCTTCACTGCTCCCTTCATATCGTCGGAGCATTTTCTTCTGGTGGGTATTTGCATGTGTAATGGGAGGTGGGAGTTGGTTTACAGTTGATCTGCTATGCCAGGTACCGAGCCTCCGCTCCCCTTCTCCCCCAGATGAAGCAGAATTACTTTCCACTTGAATTGTGTCTATGTTGGGAGCTATTGTTTAGATCTCTTCTGCACATTGTCAAATGTAACAGAAACAGAGTGTTCTAACTATTCATTTTACTCCCTAGGGGTGCTACCTCTGCAGGGGAGGGCTTGGGTGTTGCAGGGGAAGAAAATAAAGAAGATGCATTTGATGTTTTCCGTCAAAGAATGATACAAATGTACAGGCAGAAAAGAGCAAGTAAATAGGTATGTGCAATGGACACGTCTGGTTTATGAATTCCTGCAAACATTAAAATACCAGGGCTTTTTAAGTCTTCCTTTACCAAGAAAATATTACTGTTTCCATGAGTATATCTGGCTTCTTAACATTTCATGAGAATCCAGACCTACGTTGAACTGCTTTGAACTGCTGAATTACCCCAAATCTTACTTTCTAGGTTTGACATAAGAGACTCGCTCGCTAGAAAGTGCACGGATATGCAAAGGCTGCTGTCTGAAAGATCTTCGGCAGAGTATGCCAGTATGAAGAACACTTTGTTCTATAGTAGTGGACTTGAATACTAATGTATTAAAACATTTTCCAAGATTAAAGTTAGTCTTGTATTTAATTGTGCAAGCTAACAGCTTGGATGTCATCTTCTGAGGAAGAAACAACTGATTTTGTTCTCGGAAGTGCCTGTTTACCTCTCTCTTTGGCCAAGTTTGCCTGTTTTGTGATGAGATGGCTTACCAAAAAAATGGAATAAGCAACATGAAAAATATGACTAGCCTGGTTTGGCTCTGATCCTTTCTGAAGCCAAGAGTCTTCTCAGATCTTCTTGCAAGGCAGTTCAGATTTTATTTTACTACATTTTATTGATGGGCTGATCTTCTGATCTACTTCTGGAGTCTGCATAAAGCAGTTTCCTTTCCTCCATACGCCAGTTCTAAGAAGAGTCTCTACCTGCGGGCTTATTTTGTGTAGGATTCTAGACTTAAAGTGTAGGATGAATAACTGAGTTCATCTGAGTCTAAGAACACTAAACTCTTCCCTTGAAAACCTCAGCTGCCAAGGTTTTTTCATTGTAATGAACAAGTAGTACATATTTTAAGTGTACTTCTTATTTTTACACAAATTTGCAGCTCTTCTCTGACAAATTCTTGAATATTTTCTTTCCTTCTCAAAGTTTAAGCCGCGAGCAGGTGCAGTTCATGTATCTGCAGAGAATACTGAAGAAAACACTTAGAAGTCAGATATTTGGAAGTCATCTGGAAGTGGATCATCAGTTTTGTGAGACCATCAGTTTAGAGAGTCATTTCTGTTTCCATTAAATATTTGCTTTGCGGAAGTTCTTTTATTGAAAAAATCCTAAGAAATAAAACAAAAAGCTTGTACTCTTAAGGGACTATTTCAAAACTTACTGAAAGAGAAGACTGGATTAAGCTACTGTGCTTGAACAAAAAAGTGTTACCTAACTGCTTGGTGAAGCAGCTCTGAAGACATGAAAGATTTAACAGTGTTACCACAGATAAACATGCACGGTCTGATCATTCATCCTTTTCCGACTTGCACATCAATAAGGGATCTGTGACTGGATTACTGAAAGGGACAGAAGTACATATCACACTTTTTAGTGTACTTATTCTCCATCATTACCTTTCTAAAACTAGTCGAAAGTCTTCACTTGAATGTTACACTACCAAAACCTCCTTCACTGAAGCTCTCTCTAAAGAGTTGATCTTGAGCTGATGCATGTTTTGCTTACTCGCAGTGAGTGCTGTCTTGCTGATGTTTTCATCCTGCACCATGCTTCTTGTAGAGCAAAGAGCTTGTGGTACACCACTAATAGCACCCCACAGTAACGTGGCAGCATCTCAAGTTCTTAACTGACAAATATGCAAGAAAATGTGCTCTTCATTTATCAACTTGCCTGTGCCTGCTGTTTAAAGAACAAAATGATAACTCTTCCTCCATTAAAGACCCTACTGGTTGCAAGGGAATGTCTTCATTTTCATTCTATAGGAACAAACTTTTCCTTGCTTGTAACAACCAGTATTAGTTATGAATGCAAGGTTTGTTTTTTTGGTTTTTTTTTTTTCTTTACTGTATGGGTCTTTGAAACCATGAGAAACAAAATCATGTCACAGTGTAATTTTCTGATCACTCAGTTTTAGTTGCCTTGAAGCGCATAATCACTAAATAAAACCACGATGGCAGGTACAGAAAAATATGCTGGTAGTTCTGTTTTTTCCATAAACATCACATGTGTCTTCGCCTTTACAAGAAGTTGAAGCGTGAAGGCTATAAATACAAATAAGTTTATCTGGTTGTCACACTTGATTAAAGACATTTGATAGCCCAGACGTTTCTCATAGGCTTTACTTGGAGATGTTGTTCAAAATCCTTAAACGTTTTGGGCCACAGGCTACTTGGAAGATCATTGATTACAGTATTTGGCAGTGTATGCTCACCTGTTAAGGTCCCATTTGGGTGTGTTCTTAAGCCCCTCTTTCTTCCCTGTGCCTAATTAGCAGTTACACAGTGTAAAACTTGAGCCATTCAAACAAGGAGATCTATCAGTCACAGTCTGGTTTAGAATGACACTCCGGAACCAATTTGTTGGGCTCCGATTTATTTCTCAGACCCACTCAGAAGGGTTTAGCTTAGCTTTTAGCATCAGTGATGAAGCTGCCAGCGTTGCTGCTCACAGTTTTTATTTCCCTGCAAACTTCCAGTTCACCTCTTCTTTCACATTTACATTTTTGAGGGATTCTTGATGATATGTTACGCTATTTGCAGAAAGGCACAAGGCAAAGTGGAGTTTCACACTAGATTAAAATCCACTCTCTCAGTCCCAGATCAGCATTCTGAGCTGCTCTGATTTAACCTGAGTTTGCTGGGCAGAGTACCATTCGGTGTGCATTTGCTAACCACCTACTTACCCAATCTGGAAGAATTGTTGGTATCCAGATTGGAAAATGGTACCGTCCTTTCTGAGTGCAATTCAATTTAAAGTATACTGCTGCCTTGAGAATAAAGGTGAACATTGGGAAAATCTCAACCTGCTACCCTGGATGACTGTGGTATGGTCGGTCTTTTCTTGTGCCAAGCTTTTAATTTTGGACAAGATATCAGCAGAGCGGTATTGGTGCTGAGATTCCAGTGTTGCTCTCAAGTGGGTTATGTTTGCCACTTTTATCTTGTTTTACCAAGAGATGACCTTATGCTCCTTTTGCAAAAGGAATTTCCTTTTATTTTGACCTGCTTTTGCAGGCAGCTCTGATTTGAAAAATTTAAATACTTTTACATGTGAAACGTTTGTTATGCAGATACCTTGCCTTGTTTAAAGTTTACTAGCTTCTTTTCTGTTATTTTAGTTCCAGGCTCTCTTCCATGAAGACTGCAAGCTTCAGTGAACATTTTAACTAACTTCAGTGGTGTGTCTACTGTCTTTTGGTTGTTTTTTGCCATTAATCTTGTAGAGCAATTTGCTAGTTTCTGTTCCGTGCAAATTGGCAGTAGTGCTAAGCTAGTAACAATTAGATGCTTATGTTATTGGATAACTGACATTTCTTTTTAGTGTAAGTAAACATGTTAGCATTGTTAATCTTTTAATATCTGCAATAAATGTAGAACTAAACAATTTCTGGTTTAAATGTTTTGCTTGTGAATTTGGCCATTTGTAAGAGATATGCATCATTTTGGCACTAACAGTGGAATTGAGATTATGCAGTGTTATATTAGTGTAAAGCAGGATTTTATAGTGTATGAGGGAAGGAAGGTCCCTCTGTTTCTGTGCTGCTAAATGTCTCTGTTGAGAATACCCACTAAATCATTTCTTAGTTACTTCTTCATGTGGCTTCTAGTGCATTAAGTCCATACACAAACAGTGTTACTTTCCACATGAACGCCAAAACCATTGTGCCCCAGTCAGAATGCAAGAGTTTTACCCTTTATTCCCATATCCCAGGAATTAGTTGTCTCTCTGATTTTCTTGGTGTACTGATTTTAAAACAGCAAAACTTTCTCTTAACATATGTGTGTGGTTTACTGTTGCCTTTAAATTCAAATTCCTTTTTTAGACAGGATATGAGGGGGAAAATTGCAGCGAACTGAAATTTAACACTTGTGCAGCCGCCTTCTATCGAGAGGTAAACGAGAGTGTTCATTTGGGAAAGATACCAGCCAGGTCTCCTGTCCCCTGCTTTTATACTGACAGCTAGGAAAAGCTTACAGAGGCAAGTTCAAGCCCTGACTACACTCCTTTTCCTTCAAAAATGTGTTGTATGTAAGAACCTGGTTCTAGAAGAAAGGACATTTGCTCTCGCTGGAGAGAAATGAGGAGATCCCCATTTTGGGGGAGGTGCCCTAACAGAGTAAGACAACTACAGTCAATAATAACCTGTTTGGAGTAATTGTGTGGGACTAATAGAGATGTTTTCAATATTTCGCCTTCAAAGCTTTTCTTTGGTTTAATACAGTGACGTTTTTCCTATTTATTTTTTGGTTTTTTTAGACACTACAGCATCCTTAGTGTGAACACTTAATCTGTGCCGAGATGTTATTTCTCAAAATCAATGTACAGTATTTTTTTCTATCGATACTCCATTCTGCTTTGAGGTTAATCCTGATGTATTGTGCCCAAAGAAAGTTTGCACTCAGAAATTCAAATACTGTTATTTTGGATTGTTTTCTATCTTACAAGCAGGTGTATTTTCTAATTAAAAATTAATTCCTGAAAGTCCTGTTATCATCTTTAGTTCTGCATATCTCATGACTGAGTGGCCAATCACAACCAGACTGTAGATTTGAGCAATAATAAACACCTTAAATGAGAATATGCTCAAAAAACACTAGGGTACTTCTGAAATAAATAGATTTTTTGTGAACCTTGTTAAGTAGGTAACTTGCTGAATTGCAGCAAGTGTGGAAAATGTTTGCATTATCTGTGGGCAATAAAGTTACTGCTGTTTAAGAAAGTGCTAGCACACAGTGTGTTCTCTTCAGCTTTTTGTGCCTAATTCACATCATTAGAAGGTTGTGCTAATTCCCTTGAAAATTATTTCTTAGGCAAGACTTTGCTTTGAAGGGGAAGTTATAGTTTGTTATCCTGCCACTAGGTAATAATAGTAAAGCAGCAAATACAAAGCAATAAAATCTAATTTTTAAAACAGCTGCCTCTTTGTCAGAAGTTCATGATAGACTATTTGATTCACGGGGTTAACAAAAGTTCTATCTTTGAACAGTTTACAAGACCAGAAACATTTACAAGTTCAGAAACCGGAACTATTGTTGGATGGGAAATAAGAATTTTGAAAGACAATCTAAAATGAGCGATCATTAAGAGGTCATACAACACAAAAATGAAAAGAGAATCCGTAAGTTCTGGCTTTCTTTGATGCCTTACCAGTTACTGTGTGTTCCGATGTCAGTGGGAGGAAGGTGAGTAGAGGGAGTTCTGCCAAGGTCTGCCATAGTTTGTTGTATACACCGAGCACAGAAAAAGCCATGGTTTATTTTCCTGTTCAATCCTCATCATTAAATCGAAGTCACTAAGAGGATGTGTATCAGTTCTCATCCCTATGACTAATTTATGTCCATTTCCCCTAACTCCTAAAACCAAACATGAATACCAAAGACGTTCAGTTGTTCGGGGGTGTAATTTGACATAAAATCCTTGGGTTTCCACTGAGGGGCAGCAGTACCTTCCACCCGTTCATCCAGCGAGAAGCCGGGCGTTAGGCCAGGCAGCGGGTGAGCCGGGCTCTGCTGCAGTGGTTTTGCGTCACTGTCCCCTCGGTCTCAGCGCAGCCCCGAGCCCGGGCAGGCTGGATCCCACCAGACTCCGAGGCCCGGTCCCCGCCATCACCCGGTGCCGGGTTCGCCCCGGGGCAGAGCTGCCGGGTCCTCGTGCCCCAGCAAGCAGCGCCACGTGGCCGGGGTGGGTGGTGTCACGTGGGCGGTGTCACGTGGCCGCGGGCGGAGGCGCCAACGGTCGCTGCTGAGGGGAAGGGGCCTGTGGCGGTGCCGCCATTTTGGGGTGCGTGGGCCAAGGGCAGGGGGGCTGGTGGCCGGCCTCGGGCACAGCGGGATTGGATGCTGGGGGCCTGCGGGGGGGTCCCCTGAGGGGTGAGGAGGCTCAGTGCACCGAGCCTGCGTTCGGGTGTAGTTTAGGGAGCCTGGGGACACGAGCCGTCACCTCCCTCCTGCCCCTCAGCGCTGGGCCGCCTCTGCTCCGCCGCACCACGTGTGCGGCCCACAAGTGCCCGTCAGGGAAGGGGTTAAAGCAAAACGTGCTGTGGGAATCCAGGGACAGAATTAAGATTTATCTGCTGAAACAAAGATGTGATGGGGCAGGACAGCTGCAAACTCCTGGTGGCTGTAATTGCTAGGATCAGCCATCCCAGGTGCTGTGAACAAAGCTGGGAAAAAGTGCAAAAAGTGGAAAAAAACTGCTTGCAAATACCATACATCCGAGGAGATAGGTGCTGTTGGCCAAGGAGGTGTCTTGGCACATGGGTAACGTCTGTCTAGGCAGACTCACACCCTGGGTTACAATACCGGGGCTAACAGGAGTTATTTAATAGTTATCTGAGGTTTCCAACCAGATTTACTAATTTAAAAGTATTCTAACCCAAACAGTATTTTACTTGGATTATGCTAATGCAAATTATTTCCTTAGCTGTTGGCACTTGCTTACAGATGAAAGTGCAGAATAGGCAGAGATTCCCTTCTTTATTAAAGCAGATTTGGAATCTGGCTTTGTGCTTTCTCTAATTGCTGATGACAACTACCTGGCTTTCGTTTTGCTCAATTTCCTACCATTGGCTGGAGGGCATATTCATTTAGATGGACTGCCAAAGTGCCAGGTATAAAAGTACCTGATTCTAATTAACTTAATAAAATATACATTTTTTTCATAACATATCGTTGATTTGATATGTATATATATTATTTTTCTATAACATATATAAAAACTGGTGAATGACTGTAAGTAAAGCAGGTTTAGCTATGATTTTCCTTAAATCCCTAAAATAGCTGACTGCTGCAAAATGTTCCCACTTGTTCTTAACGTTTGTGAAATAATGCTTAGATACCATGCAGAAAACCTGAAACATCGCAGCCTGCAAATGAGAATCACAGACTTGGTGCAAAACTCGGTTTGCTGGTATAATAGCTTGGAATTGCCATCAGAGTAGAGTCTACTTCTGATTAGTATAAATACAGTAATAGCTGGAAAATCTTGTAAAACGGCATGGCTGTCCATCTCTTATAAAAAGGCAGGTAGCCAAATCCTACAGTGAATTTAAACTGCTTTTAATTTTAGGGCATCTGGAAGTAGTTATCTGAATGGAAAATGTAAGAGGTTTTGACAAGTTTCAGAAAATATTTGAAGACTACAGATACTTACTTTGGAGGGCTTCCACGGGACATTTTCAAGAACCATCAAGAAATTCCTGCCTGTAATTATTTAATGACAAGGAATAAAAACTGGGAAGAACTTATTTCTAGTTGAAGCTCTGAAAATGGGTAGCACTGCTGTTCTCCTTTATCTTGTTTTGCAATTAATACGAGAAACAAAATCATCTGCTGTGAACTGCATTTCCAGAAAAACAGTAAAATACCAAAGTAAGTGAAAAAATAGTAATTTCACAAGTAGAAAACCGCAGCAGAATGCGGGGAGTTTATTTTTTTATTAGGCGTAGAAAGATTGCTATGGACTGTTTCACCTCAAGTGTTGCAGATGCACTCATCCAAATGACAGCGAGGAACGCCTCGACAATAATTGCTGTAGCTGGAGGTTCTGGCTTATAAGTAATAATAATAGTGTTGTTTATTTTCCTGTAATAAATTGGGAAAAGAATAGCCTTGCATTTATTCAAATACTTTCATGTTATTTAAAAAATGATCTGGAAATGTGTATGAGCTTTTACCTTTGTTCTGTTACAATTTGTTTTCAATCTGGAATTTTTATTACCTAACGCTGTGATTCTAGTGTTAAGTAAGTTTAAAATAACTTATCTTCTATGTGTTGCAGCTGGAAGTATAAACACTTTTATGAAAGAAGGATTATCCAACGTTTCCACTCTCATTATGAATGAAGAAACCAATACCTTATTTGTTGGAGGCAGAGATGCGGTATTTGCTCTTGACTTGAGTAATATTTCTAGAGAAATAGCCAGGGTAAATTAAGGACTTTTTTTCCCCCATACCTTCTTTTAAAAAATACTTTGCTTGTGGTTTTCTTAATTTGAACATAATGTTCTGATTTTAAATGTACTGTTTCAAGGCTTGAAACTTTATCACAGAATTTTATTTTATTTTTTTTTAAGCAAAGCAATTCTTCAGGTTATTTTTTATTCCTTGTATGTTACAGAGATACATAGAGAATACTTATTTACCACAGTTGGTTCAAAGTTAGGATAAGTTAGGGTTTTTTTTCACACATAATTTTTGGGGGGGGGGAAATTGCACCATACCCCCTTACAAGTATTTTTGGCTTTTAGGAATACTGGTTTGCTACACAGTATTGGTAGAGGAAAGGACAAGGTAGGAACATCTGTTTCCCTAAGTTACTAACTATAATGAAAAGGGCTACAGTATCAAGCTTCTTTTTAATAAATGAAGTAAAATCAAGTTCATTTAAATCTGTGGGTTTTTATCCCTTGTTGCTAAGGAAATTTTCAGATGCAATCCACTACACTTTGTAAATTTTATTTTTATTTTCAGATAAAATGCCAGAACTACATTCTCTGCCTCTGTAAGATAAATTACTTTAACTTGTATGTTTGTGGAACCAACACTTATTACCCAACTTGTGATCATATGGTAATTATGTTTGAATACATACAGACCTGTCTTAAAATATTCCTGTTGAAAATTAGAAGCTTCCCTAATTTTTTTATAAGAGTATGAAAGACCAGAAAATTACTTAGCAAATATTTTTTTCACGGTATTTAAATGATTGTTGCCATAGGTTATCCATGAGGCAAACATAAGCTTGCAAGGAAAAGCTGAAGAGAGCAAAGTGTCCATTTGAACCAGCTCAAAAGCACACATCTGTTTTTGTAGGTACTGACATGCAACTTGTAATTATTTTCTTAATCTAAACTAAATTATTGGATACCATAATCCTAATTCTGTTTCTTCATTCAACCCCAGTTTTTTCCTTATGTCTTTGCATTTTAAAAATAAATATAGTTCTTTGTTTCTTCTTACAGGTGGGGAATTTTATTCAGCTACTTCAAATAATTTCTTGGGAACAGAACCCATAATACTCCACAGCATGAGAAACCCTGTAAGAACAGAGTTTAAAACATCATAGCTAAATGGTAAGAAGGTTTTTTTATATATTTCGGTCTCTTGAACTTTAATTTAGTGTATAAATTCTCTCTAGAATGTAGCAGTATGAGTAGTATGTTATGTGTTGGTTTTGTAGTGTGAGCTTTTGAACTAAAGGCAGAATTTAAAAGAAATTCATGACTATGGAATACTGTGATGAGATGAGCCACAAGAGTTCCTTCTCTTAATATTTGATAGATTCATAAATACTTTCCAGCCCTTTCCTTGTCTACTAATCCACAAAAAAAGTTCAGTTAGACTTAAATTTTAAAATTTCTGCCATTTATGTTTTTCTTGGAATAAACTTTAAGTGTTTTGTGTATTTATGTGTTTCAGAACCAAGCTTTGTCAACATGGAAATAGTGCATGAAAGTGAATCTAATCCAAATGGACATAATGATAAAATGTATGTGTTCTTCACTGAAACAGCTGTTGAATTTGAATTCTATGACAAGCTTCTGGTGTCCAGAATTGCCCGTATCTGCAGAGTTAGTATCTGTAGCATAAAGATTTTGTTTAGTGTATTTCAGATGAAGTTTCCTAGTCGAGTGATTAACAAGGGTATCTATGCTGGCTAACCAAACAGAATTGTCACAGGCATTTTATTTCTGGACTACCTTCCTCTTTTTCCTGCTGGAACAGAATCAGCTGTTGAGGTTGCATTTGAGATTTAAACCTTTTTTTCTTTGCCTTTGCACTGAGATTTGTATTGAAAACCCAACTATGTTTTTCCCCAAATCAATGCTATTAGGTGAAAATTACATCTATTTCTTTATGCATTCTACAGCGTTGATGTTATTTCTTCATTTAGGGTGATCTTGGTGGAAAACGCATATTGCAGAGAAGATGGATATCATTTTTAAAATCCCGCCTTTCCTTTTCCATTCCAGAATTAAACTTCCATTTCGATATTGTCCAGGACATCTTTTTACTAAGGAGAAGGAAATTTTATGGAATTTTTTCCCAACAATGGTGAGATAGAGGGCTACATATGACTAAACTTTGTAATGCACTGAGTAAGGATTCTCACTTCAGTATGAACAGTCTAAGTACAGCCTTTTGGCTTTAACTCTGAACAAGAAGCTACCAGCTACTTACGCTGCATGTTTTAATGGACCACGTTTGTTTTTCTTACAGCTTGATCCAACTGAGCAAACATTATCATCTGAAACAAAATGTTTTTGGTTCCTGGGCCAGAGCCTTCAATTAAAGACTAACCAAAAGCTTCTCTTAAGCCAAGTTTTTAGAGTTAGGTTTTCTCTAGTCGGATAGTGGGGCAATTAAAACTAATTACATATAAAATTACATAATTACATACACAAAGCCCTGGATTCTTCTGGTCTTTATAGCACTAAAGGAAATAGCTGACATTTCAAGGTGCAGAATTATTCTCCTGTTCCAAAAGAAATATCTGTCATGGCCTGCTCGTCCTATGTAATGTTCTGTGAAAATGAAAGCAGACTCCAAACAAGTACAAGTTTTAGCATTAACTTGCTTTTTCCTAATGCTCTGACTAATGAAGAAAAACAAGACAAAGTGGATCAAAACTTTACATGTCAAAAAATACTGATGACAAAGTAGCTGTGAGTAGGTAATTCTCATGTTTTATAAAAGCATCAGAATTGTGGGAATGCAGCACAGTCAGCACTGTGCAGCTTAACCTGCTGCCACCTATTTACCTGTCAGTTTATGCCCACTGGAGCTAATGCAAGCTTTCTTTCTGGTTATGGCAGGTTGGGTTTTGTGTGTCCTAAACCAGGAATTTGTAGAACGTTTATTCCTTTGGGTGTGGCAAAGAGATTTAGTCTTGGTATTCACTGGTAGAATTGAAATCACATCAGTGTCTGATCCAGACACTCCTAAACGTCTACTTCAGTTTTCAGTCATCATTTTGAAAAGCATTGTAATTGGAGGCAAAGAGGAAAAGTATTGTGTTTTTCAGTAAGATGAGTTAAAGGGATTAGAAGAAGAATTAATGGTCTGTGTCAGAAGTGTGGAGCCAAAGGGAGGAGAATCCTGTCAAAACATTGATTACCATAATACTGGGGCTCATCTCTCTGTTCACAGGAAAGGTTGTCAAAAGGTCTCCATTCTCGAAGTTGTTTAAGTTTATTTGAGGGCGGTTACTTGATTAAAAAAAAAAAACAAACAAAACCAAACCCACCATCTTTTATGAATGTTTTATTCTTTTCTTAGTGAATCATGAAAACTGCAACACAGAACTATTTTTCGTGTTACGTATCTTTTCACTAATCCTGAAAAAGATACAGCAGTGTGCACTGTGGAGACTGGGTTATTTTACAGTATTTATTTCTATATAAAAGCCAATAAAATTGGTTTTTTTTTTTTTTTCTAAGGGGAAGATTAGACCTATCAGCTGTTTGTGCATATAGTATGAAAAATATTCAGGAAGTCTTCTCCAAAGGAAGCTACAAAGGACCAGTAACTGTAGAACATTCCCCTGTTAATGGTATATAGGGGAGAAGTGCCAGTTCCACATCCTGGTGCTGTAAATATGAATTTTCTTTTTCTCATTAAACAACAGCCTCTGGATTATCATTTTTGCTAGCAAATCATGAGCTCATGTTTTACCAATATAAATGCAGTGTTTACAGTCAGCAAAGAGATACCCGCTCTCTCATTCCATCCTACAAAGGTTCCTAGAAAAGCTACCTTGCTTACAGTTCTGCTCCACAAGCAATGTGGGATTATTATCTAGTTCATATAGTGTGAGGAGAATAATTATTTTTATCTTTTGGCAATAAGTAGAAATAACCGAATGTTTAGAAGGAAATACACCTTTTTGGTGAAATGTAAAAGCACTTGTAATCATGTTCTTTATGTTTTGTTTCTAGTGCACTGATAATCTTGCCCAGAGTGTTGGATATAATGCTTCTTTTGACTTGCCTGACAAAGTTTTGCAGTTTGTTAGAGATCACCCTCTAATGGATAATTCTGTAAATCCAGTTGGTAACAGACCAGTGCTGTTACCAACTATACAGAGGTTCCAACTATACAGGATTGTAGTAGACAGAGTGACTGGCCTAGATAAACATACAGTGTTATGTTTCTAGGAACAGGTAAGTGTTTTTATTTTAGGAAAAAATAGTAGACATTTTAATGTATTTTGTTTCAGATTTTTCTTCTGAGCCTTCAAAAAAGTGGAAGTTTCATCAGCCCTGTTTGAAGTTTTGCATTCAGAAGCTGTTTTGCTAGTTTAATATTTTCATCCCAGTTAGATTAAATGTGTTTGGCTTGTTGGACATTAAAAGACTCTCTTTAGAAACTTTCCATATCAAAGGAGACTTGACATAATAATATTTGCAAATTCAGGGGTTGTTTGAGGTCTTTTTTTGTCCCCTGAAAAAAACATTGCTTCTCTCTTATTGAAAGAAAAAATAAGAATTGCTTTGAAGAATTTAAAAAAAATTCCCTATGCCTGGGAATGTCTTCTGAATCTCTATCTAAATTCAACATGAATTATCAGGCTAAAATGTTATGCTATGTTTAAACAAGCTTATCTTTAGAATACATTTCATTTTATGTAGATGATGGATATTTGCATAAAGCTTTCAGTTGTGATGGGGAAATGTTCATTGTGGAGGAGCTACAGCTGTTTCTGTCTCCGGAGCCTGAACAGTCTCTCCGGCTCTCTTCTGAAAAGGTAGAACTTCTGTCGCTGCATATGGAAAGCGACTGCTGAAATAGCTTGCCTCGGGCCTTGCTCTTCTGTGTTGTCCTTCTGGCTTTTATAGAACCCGTAAATGTCTCATAATTCTGCTTCTATCGTGTATTTGTTAATAATGGATGCACGAAACATCTTTTTTTTTTTCTGTAGAAGAATTTGTGTTTGTCGAAATATAACTGAAACAAGACTTCATTAAAAAATTAGGGGAGGAACTCTGTCATTGCTATGGAAAGCTGGGGGTTTTCTCATTCATATCACCATTTATTCTTAAGAGATTTTTAGTTTACTGATATTTTAATAAATACCAGAAAAATCTTACAATCCCTATTAGAAAATAGCAGCTTAAAAATCTCACTGGCTGTTGTAAAAGAACTCCCTCCTGCACTCCCAGGGAATGCTCTACATCAGGTCCCTGTCTTGAGTGGTGCAGGTCCCAGTGTCCGTGTGCCACCGGTCCAAGGACTGCTCAGATTGCATCTTGGCACAGCATCCCTGCTGCACCTGGTCCCAGCCTGCTGAGGAATGTCTTCTGCTGGCAAATCAAACCGCTCAGACTTCAGTAAGTGAAAAGCTCCTGTTTCAGCTGCACGCCTGAGGTGAGATTGCTTTATCAGGCACTTGTAATGGCTGTAACTCAGAACCAGGATGATTCCTAGAAATTGAATGGTACAAGCTGGAACACTTCTTGTCTGTGTTTTCATCTGTTTGGTTTTGGGAAGGTTTTTTTTCTTAGTTGGGTTGGTTTCTTTTTTTTTCAGGAATTTAATTCAAAGTGTGAAATATGGGGATGCTTCCAGCTGCCTTAGTGTAGGTATGCGAATGTTTGTTTTACAAAAGAATATTTTAACTTCATGGGACCAAAATGCTTGTTCAGTTTGTGTGCACTGGAATTCTTGCATGATAGTATCCCACAGAGTTAAAATAATGTTGATTATTACTTTTGAACTAACACTAAAGCAAACCACACTGAGCTGGTACTGCCTAATGCTCTTAACCCTCTCAATCAAAATGTCAGAATACCTCAGTTCAGACTGAATCTCTGACTCTCAGGAGAGACATAAATGTGACCTGTTGGAAGTTATTGGTGTCCCTCCCACACCCACTTTGCAGAAATCACACGACACATCAACACATCAGCTGTCCCATTAAATCTGTCACTACTTCAGGATGCTGTTCTGCAGATACATGACATACTACGCAAGAGTACACTTAAAAAGAAGGCTATTTGTTACCAGCCATTTAAAGTTACTTTTATTATTTTTAGTGGGAGTTGGATATGAATTACTTTTAATGCAGAACTGCAGGTGTGTGATCTGGTATTATGCAGTGACTTCATAGTGAGTTGCAAGATACACTGCTTTCTTCATGACACCAGATGTATCTCTTACCTCCACTTACGTCTCTTTAAAGGCAGAGTTGTCATTACTCTTGTATATTTTAGACTGCACGACAAATGTTAATCAGGCAATCAGCGGGACAGAACTTTCACATTGCTGATGGAAGCATTTTGTAGACATCAGAGCATCTCTGTGAAGAGATGTCATTAACCAGTATAGAGGTTGAGGCACACAAAGGTGAATTTGTTTATGCATGACCTGTACAGGTGAGGCCAAATCAGATTAAAATCTGGAAGCTTTAAACTTCTAGTCCCATTTTCATTGTGTTACACACCAGTGGGAATAAGGCCAGCAAGATGTCACTGATAGTCAGAGATGTCAGTGATGGGATTTCTTTGTCTTGATCCCTTACCTCTTTATTACCCATTGTCAAGACTGGTGAATTAAATTTTATATGTATTTGAATATGTATTTGGTCATACACATTAAACTAAATTCCCAGTGGTCTTACTCTAAAAAAAAAAAATCTTCATAATTTCAGAGAAGAGTGTGAGAAACTGTCTCTCCACTCTTGGAAACAATGTTTATTTGAAATGTGCTCCTCTGTTGAATCTGGCGAGCATAGTGTGGAAGTTTAATGGGAGCAGACTTCAGGCTGAGGACTCTAAATATCAACTCTATGATGGAGAAATAGCAATATTTAACATGACAATCGATGCAACTGGATTCTATGATTGTCTCTTGGTAGAGAAATCCAAAGGGAAGGAATTCCTTACCACTGTGGCCCGCTATGCCCTTTATGCCCGAGAAAAGAGAGGGAGCAAATGTTATTGCCACAGCAAATAATGAAGCAGGAGCTGCGTGTTTTCAGCCTTCATTACCACCTTCTTTACCAAATGAGGCAGCAAAACAGGGATCTGTGGACAGCCGGATAGAGAAGCTTGTTTTAAAACTCCTGGTAGCTGGATTTGCTCTTCTTTTCTTTTCTTTTCTTTTCTTTTCTTTTCTTTTCTTTTCTTTTCTTTTCTTTTCTTTTCTTTTCTTTTCTTTTCTTTTCTTTTCTTTTCTTTTCTTTTCTTTTCTTTTCTTTTCTTTTCTTTTTTTTGTTGTTGTTGTTGTTGGTTTGGAACTTCTACAGGGGCCATTTATCTCTGCCTTGGAAGAGCAGAGAAACCAGCTCAAAACCCACCAGTGCAGCTGGCTTGGGAAGTCCAGCACCAGCTATGGAGGGGTCAGGCAGCGTGGGGAAGAGTTCAGCCACGCAGACGGACAAAGCTGGTGTTAACAAATCTGGGCCCGTGAGCTTCTCCTAAGGAGCACAGAGAGCTCCGGCAGCCTGCAGCTCACAACGCTCTTCACTGAGATGACATAACGTTTCCTGTTCAGGAATGTGGAATGTAAATTTGGGTAAGAGTCAGAGCTCTGAATTGAAGATGACAAGCTGTATTGTGTATTAAATAGATGTGTTACCAGTTACTGCTTTTAAAAGCACAATTCCTTGTTTGGAAACCTTTTTGACATGATAGATCCATAAGAATAAATTTCTTTCAAAAATTGACACTGATCCACTTTTTTGTCATGCTGGGGTTGCCCAATTACAGAAATTAATACTTCAGAAGCTAATAATACTTCGTGTTTAGTGCTTTCACCTTCAGACTTTCTGTTTAATCTACGAATAGCAACTAATTAAGTCTCCCAGTGCCCCAGGAGGTTGCTACTATCCTCATTTTACATGTGAGGTTAAATTACTTGTCACTGACCATAGCGAGTATTGGTGTCAGATCTGGTGCTTTGTTAGAAGTTCCTGAGTCATCTTCCTGTATATTATCTTTCTCTATTTTCCTCTCCTTTCCCTTTATTTAGGCTTTCAAAACACTTTCCATGCATTTATTTTTCTAACGTGTTTTTAGTGACCTTTATGATACATCTGCCTCTGTCCAAAAATGTCATTTTATGTACTGCATTGTTGTTCTGACTTTGTTGCTGAGGTGTGGTCAAAATTCAGACATTGTAGCTCCTTTTGTTAAAGGCCACTGAAAGTTAAGCATTTTTTCGGAGACACTTTTTTCAAATAAATGTTCTCTTCTATTTTCTTGTTTAAAAAAGAACATGGGTTCCTGATCACGAAAATCCCTTAACAAAAGGCTATGCTGCCTCACCCTGTCTCTTGCCAGACATGCATAAAGTACAAGGTTGATGCTCTTCTAGCCATGGACAGCTCATTTTTTTCCCAGTTTTTACATAGCTATGGAAGAAGAAACCTGCTTGGAAATGGATCCTCCTATGTGGAAGTCTTTACCAGTTGTAGCAAGACCCCTGCTTTCCAGTTAAACAGGAATGCTTGGAAACGAAGATGATGTGTACAGCCGAGATACCTGGATGGGAAGAAAAAACAGATAAGTAGCTATTTGGTGTTTTTTCTCCCTTAAAACATAAATATGTTAAGTTTCTTTACACTGGAGCAAAGTCACATTCTTTTTTTTTTTGAATGCTTGCTTTCTCCATAGATCAAATTATTCTTCTGTTGTGCTTCATAACAACAGGTTCTTGTGTATTATGTGCAAAAAACACAGAAGGAAGGTTGAGGCCACTTGCAAGAAGCAAATTCACGTGTTACTGTCTCTGTTCCACTGCTATTTATCAACACAGCGATGTCTGCACTCCCGTGGGAAGACGTCAAGGTGGGAACAACACCAGCCTTTCTAGCGAGGGGAAGCCAGAGGCACGAAGTGTGAACAAGAAAACTATATAAAATGGACGTCTGAAATTTAGAAGACTGGATAGCTGCTGGCAAACTGTTATGCCAAGACCCACCTGGCTGTGTGTCAGTGATTGTGTCAGCGCAATGCAGAAACAAGACCTGAGGTGTGTGTCTTGTCTCGCAGTTTGAAAGGGAGTCTGCTTCCCCGCAGGGTTCCTTTCCCTGTAGTCCTACTCCCTGTATGCAAAGGGTTATATCAAAATTAATGATGCAGGCTGGACAGGGGCGTGTAACTAATAACATAGGAAGGGATATCAAAATTTCCATGATTTTCTTTGGGGACGCTTACCCTCTTCCCATAGTGGAAGGAAGTGCAGATGAATATAAAACCCCATTTCAGAAAATCCTCACAAGGCTACCAGCATTTGGTTTTAGTTCAATTCCTGCTGATCTAATTACCCTAATTTAAACATGTAAAATAATTAGCTTCTAAGAGAAGTCGTAGATAAGTTACAGTTAACAGGTCGATATGAAAGATACTGTGCCCTACTTTCAGTAGTGTCTTCGGAGCAGTTTTAGTCCTTTTGTCATTGGTTGCCACGCTGCACGGCGGAAGGACAGCGAATATGGGGCGAGGGGAGCGCTGGTGCTCCACGCTGCCACGGAGCAGAGGCAGCCCTTGAGCTGCTTGTTCAGCTGCCAGCTCAGGACAGCCACCCAGTGCTGCTCCAGCTTGCGCCCTGCAATGGCTCTTGTGAGCGTACCCCAATATGCTGTGGAAACACAAACCTTCCCCGTCGCCTCTAACCTCGCTCCAGCTCTCTTGGTGCCAAAAATCTTTTGTGCTGGCAGCTGCTGCCATTGTTTCAAGCAGAGCATTACCTCAGTGTGCTCCAAACATGTCTTGATGTCACGTTTAAACTTATGGGCAGCAAACCATAACCCCAAACACAGGGGCAATAGTAGTGGGGACACTGGAGACAAGGAATTACACCCATCTCACTAAACTTCCCTTTGAAATATGTTATAAAATAGGGTGGAGGTAAAACCTGAAAGTGGAGTATGGGAAGTGGTGTTATTGCTAGTGTTTATGCTGCTAGTATTGAACTCTGATATGAATATTGATAAATTATGAATGCTACTTCCACCTTTTAGTGTAAAATTACAAGTATGGAGCTTACTATTTTGCTGCAAGTTCTGAAGTTATTAACCCATGGAGAAATTAATGTGCAGAACTGTCTGGGATTAACAAAATCTCTCTTGGGAAGATTTCCTATTAAATTGTCCTGATAAGTTAAGAAATGTAAAGGAGACTGGGATCACCCAGCGGTGACATAACTCAGCACCACTGAGTCTGCCCATGGGAAGCTTCGTGTTAGGGTAGTGGCATAGTTTAAGGCAAAACTGAGGCATTTGTGGGAATCGAGTGAGGAGTGTTGGTGTTCGGTCAGGGTTTGAGTGCACTGGTAGGGGTGTCTGGGAGGAAATGTGGGGATAGTTTCCTGCCAAAGCCAAGCTTTAGGTTCTTTACTAGGCATGTTTGTACGAGACACTCGCACTGTTATTATCTGTTCTACAAACGGTGTAAAGCTTGTCTGCAGCTTCAGAGTTACTGACTTGAAGCCCAGAGTAACTGCACCCTGCCCAGGACAGCTGATACGGGTCAATTCTGATGTTTTTCACAAACACGTTAGAATAGGTGCTGTTCATGTGTGGGCTCACGCCGGGGCAGATGCACACTGGGCTTTGGCTACGGAGCAGAACACGAGCAGCACCCGGAGCCGCTGCCATTTGCAACCTGTTGGATCTAACCCTGAAAAGGAGCAGACGAGGGAAGGTCCCTTCCTGGTCTTGACTTCTGTCACCTTCATGAGGCCAGGCTACTGCTGCTTCTCTACCCTCATGATTAAAAATACATCTTATTCCTAGACTGACCCGTTCAGCGTCTGCTTCCAGCCCGTGGAGTTTGTCACCCTTGTTCTGGCTAAAGAGAAAAGCACTCATGCAGAAAATTTCTTTCCACCAAGAAGTTATGGTTATGATCAAGTCAGGCCGTGTCCTTTCTTTGATGAGCAGATGAAGCGCTTTTATCCTTTCGACGCAGAGTGTATTTTGTTCTCTCTCAGGGCTCTCCTGCGAGCCCTCTGCAGTTGTTCAGCACCCTGAGGGGGCGGGCAGAGGGTTCCCCGGGGAGCAGAGGGCCCGCTCCTGGGCCCGGTTCCTCTCCGTGCCTGGTTGTCAGGGCTGAGGGCTGCCTTAGCTCTGACCACAGCGGCACGCTGGGAGTGGCTGATGCTAATAATCCACTCCGCTTCCCCAAGCCTTTTCAGCCTCCCTTCTTCCCAGGGTATTTTCTCATTTCATCAAACTGTATTCACGACTGACGTTAATTTTCCACTTGTGTATAAAACGACTTCATAAAAGACAGAACAACAAAGCGCGCCCTATTTCCGATAGCAGCCGTCTAGACTAAGATGAAAGAACGCAATTTTGTTGTTGTTTTCATGGGCGGGCAGCGCCC